AGTGTAGACCTAATACAAAGCAAAGATCAAACACCTGCTCATCTCTGCTCAGTGTTAGAGGCAAGTGAGTTACTGCTATGATGTTGAAGGACTACTAATTCATGCAAAAATCTTCACAGCTACTGATGGGGCTTTCAAAAATGCCACTGAAAATCGCTGGAGAAGTTACTCTGGCAAAAGCAAACGTTCCAAAGAGCACTTTAACCCTCAATTCGAAGATCACACTAAATGGAGAGCATACTTAAGAACATAGCAAGCAGCCTTATTTAAGAATTTCTAGTAGCCATAAACCAAAAGGTGAATTAGGAATTACCTTTAACTAAAAAAGCTCTTTAACAATGAAAAGAAATAGCAAAAAGAAAAACTGTGAAAAATTAAAAGTTCCTATAAATACAAAGTATATGACAAAACCAAAAACGTGAATATAGAAATAATCATGTCTTTAATCTGTCACACTCCCCAAAGCACAGTATGTCTCCCTTGACACCACCAAGTAACACAGAAGTTTTGCTCCTGTGATACCTGCTTTTCAGCCCCATGGATGAGCTACCCCCTTTTAAATTTACAGACTACTCTAACTCTGCCTCCTACATGCCTCCTTCATCACGCTGGACTCTTTAACGATTATCTCAGTTGAGTGGATTATATGTTTGCGCTTGAATAGGTGAAATAAGCTGATACAAGTGGCAGTAAATTATTCAAAGTTAAGCAGAGAGAGAAACCACCATTTAATGTGGAGACATTATTAGGCCATTTTTTCTGAATGCGTGTGGCTATTTTGAACCCACAAGCCCTACTTGTACAATCAAACACGATGCTTTCCGAGCACCACTACTTGCCTTCTTGCATCTCCTCGGCATACCACTCTACAGACCCCTTACCGACTGGGCCGGTGAAGGAATACTACCCTGCTTCTCTCTATGCTCTCCCACTACAGCTGAATGCCTGTCCTTTCCCATCAGCCCTTCCCTCCCTTTACCAAGCTTCTTTACGTCCCCCTAGTTTTCTTTGTTCAAATCCTGTATTTATCCTAATTTATGAAGGGCTGGAGAGCATGTAATATTCCTCCTTCAGTGGAAGTCACGAGGCCAAAGTGGCTCAGACACCATGATTTTAAACAGTATTACGATATTTAAAAAGACGCCGTATTATAAGTTCTGCATGAAATAGTATATACTTCGCGTGTTGTAAATCCATTTAAGTAAACTAAAATGTACTGCTGACATATATGAAATATGTCCCACTTTATGTTCCTTTTAAATATGTAATACATGAGCTTACCTAAGACAAATCATATTCAAACACAATTCTAAAAGTATTATTTAAGCCATTTATACCTTGCCATTGGTATAAATAGGCCAGTAAGCCATTTTAATTCAGTCATCTAGAGGAACAGTTTAGTAGTACTGTTTTCCAGGGAACAGGCAGTTATAAAGAAATAGTCCAGTGTACAAGCCATCTGGTCTCTTAAAACTGATTTAAAAATGATGGGGAGAGGTGTTTAACCATGCAACTGGAAAAAAATCCCAAAAGCTACAGACCTAAACATAACCTCCTCTCTTGACCAGCATCTTTTCTGGTTTGTGAAGAACCCTGCTTTATTTCGCTACCTCCACTACTGTTCAAGTAATTCTGCCAATATGATAGAAGTCGGCTCAAAATTTTAGGAAAACTCTGAAACATTCCAAAATTTTATATGGTTTCTCACAACAATTTTTTCCTGTTCCTGGTAATTATGATCTGCACATCTATAACACTTCTACAAACTTAGTTGAATATCGTATTTTTCTCTTCCTCTTCTACACTTAAAGGAATTCATATTCACTGAGTATTGCTACAAAATGTTAAAAGAATTGCAATGATGAGCTAGAAAGATAATTTGTATTCTACAAGGAGTGAAATGATTTCTCAATATTTAAACAATGTTAACTAAACTCCGCAAGATCTTTTTTGGCAAGAAATGCCACGTAATGGTCCGGTGTGCCACTCTGGAAACACACAATATGCCTATCAGTGAATAAAAAAAATCTAATTAATTTTTTAAAAGCTGCCAAAATGAACAGTAGGTTTGTATAGTTCACTAGAAAGCATTTGCAGAAAGGGAAATCAAATCGGATTAATTTACATAAGCTGTACAAACAGCAGTGGCTAACATTGTAGTATACTAAAAAAGGCAATTTTGCCTTTTTTTTTTTCCCCCAAATTATTTAAATAGGAAAGCCTTAAATATTTTCAGACCAGATGATTCATTAGATTTCTGGGGAAGATTAACAGCCAAGCTTTTAAAAGAAGAACATAAACAGTATAGATTTGACCGAGATGTTTCACATTTCTATGAGGAAAGCAAGATTTGAGAGAATCTGACAATGAGATGAAATTGCTAAAAAATAACCAGCTTCAAAACCCTAATAATACAGGGCTAAGAACATTTTCAGAAAATGTAACAAGTAGCAGCATGTACTTTAATTTCTCCAATTTTTTTAACCCCTCTTTTCCCCTGGTTGCAGGAAGAAAAGTCTTCATCTGCTATAGAAGACAGCAAAGTCTCTTGTAAGGGAATCCAGTGAAGCACATAAAGAAGTAACAGAAGCAGCTGATGCTAAAAGGAGAACAACATACGATGCTAGAAAAAGCTGTGCAGCTGAAACTCCTAGTCAGTCTAGAGCTGCTACTGAAATAACACCTACAATCTCCCACATGAAATACATAAGGGAACAGAGAGTACAACGAAACAACCAAAGAGCAGACAACACATAATTGGAACAAAACGTCCAGTTTTCTCCTTGTAAAAGACAGCATGTAAAGAAAAAGGGCTTATAGAGCGAGTTGCAGTTTCACCTCGCTAACCAGTTCTCGTCATTAATCCAGCATTACCTTGCTGAGAAGAAATATTTCTTTTATGTAAAGATGACATACTTCTGCTATGCTGGGACTGGTGGAAAGGATAGGCTTTGCTTCTTTCAGGAGAGTAGCTCCTGCTGCTGACACTAGAGCCAGATCTGCTGTGCGGAGAATCCCTTCGGCTCCCTGGCGATTCCCTGAAGAAAGGAGAGTCCCTCTTATGAGGGGATCGCTCTCTCATATAATGAGAAGGATAGAAGCTTTTTCTTCTGAAGCCATCTCTGACGTCCCTTTGAAAACAACAGAAAAATAAAAGTTACTTAGTTATCCTTCTGATGTTTGTGGAACAGCACTAGATAATACAATGGCAACATTTTATGTCTGGTAAATACAAATAGGTTAGCTGTCATCTGCAGAACACATCTTAAATCTTCAGCATTGTTACAGTACTAGGCAACAAATGAAAAACAAGTAGGAAAGTAGAAAAATATATGTATATGTATGTAATTTTTTTCAGATTTCATTCAACTACTTCATCGCTAGAAGCTAATTCCTTTCTTCTTCTCAATAATACAGCTAAAATATAAGAGAAGAGACATTCAAGAAACTGGGACTCTCACATTTTATTTCTTCAAATTCACTCCACACTCCACTTCACCTGGAAATTAAGCTTTAATTTACAACAGCTAAAAATGCATATGTAAATATTGCTCACACTATTTGGCTGGTTTTCAACTCTATTTTTCTCTTACCCTTATTTTCAAGGGATTATGTCCCTCATTTGATTTCACACACCTTCCTGTGGGAAATATCATTGAGGGATTTCAGTTTATATCCAACAAGGACAAAAGGAAAACTGCAGACTATCTATGCTCAAGCCTATGTATCCACCCAAGGTCAAACCCTGGATGAAAATATGAAGATTTATACCTACTAAAAAGTCTATGTCTTCCACAGTACACAATATTCATTTTGAGCTTTACTGTAAAATGCCACAGACGCAGTCAGTATTACATGAAACCCAACTGATTTGAAACCATAATCTAGTAAACACCAAAACTTTCTACTAAATTTATATATTGTTACTCCAGACCATACTCCAGACGTCCTGGTTACCTGCAGATTATATTAATATACATATATATGTAAAGGTAAAAAAAACCAGTATCAAATTGAACTTCTCCTAAAGAATCTCAAAGCTAACAAACATGCAAGCGAACACCCACTGAATCTAGCCTTGTGACATTTGCCTTGGTTGGAAGACACATTGCTAAGAGAAGCAAGTACTTCTCAGCTTCTCCACAGCATTGCTAAGTAAAAATAAAGACTTCATAGCATTTATAGTAAGCCAGAATGTATCTTATTTCACTGCTTTTCTCTCCTATTTCTCAACACAGTCCAATATTTTAAGTAAGGGAACGTCTCACAAAGACAAGCAAAGATCTGGTGGTCTCATTTAGCACAATGTAGCTATAGCTGATTATGTTGGTGGAGAAAAGGAAAAAAGCCCTCTAGTGTACAATTCCTACAGCGTGTTACAGGCCCACATTTGTGACAGGTAACAAAGGACTTCAGTGTGCCAAAGGTGTTTTGGACTACTGAAACTGCACAGGTAGCACCACAGTAATACAAACCCTATTACATTGATGTGTTTTATACAGTGCTGATTTACTTTTTGCATGGAAAGCACATCTGCATGAGTGGTTCTGCTTCTACGAGCAAACATCCCACAAGCAACATTGAGGTTATTCTGCAACAGAAAAATCATCGGGGCAGGGGCATAGCCAGTAAAAATACAGAAATCCTTCAGCTTATTTCTCCAATTCCAGATGGAATCAAGTATTAGGAAAATAAATCTTTATTTTGAAAATTTTCATACGAAACTGAAGTATGAATCAATAGCTCTCAGCCACCCTGGTTTTCAGTAAAAAAGCCAGTGAAGCAAAGCCAGGTTTTACACTTAAATAATTACCTCACTGTTAACAGACCACAGGCCTTTTATAGGTATCTTATCTTACAGAAAAGCGTATTTTACAGGTCTGCATACCAAAACTGATACAGGACAATGTTACATGGATTTATATCTAACAGGTGTGCTAAAAATCAATATTCCTTTCCTTTCTAAACATGTTTTCTTCTGTTTATTGCGACACTTTCTTCTCCCCAAGTGAGCCAGCAAAAGAAACAATTAAGGAATTGTTAAATAGTACTCTATTTAACAACATCTACACAGTAGCCATTGTATAGATACTTACATCAAAGAATGAAGCACCCCAGAATACACAGAAGGATAATCCTCCTGCTTTCTTCAAAGGCCTAAGAGCAATGTGCCCAGCTTTGGACACCACTCTCTAGGAAATGTGTAGATTAACAGGAGACTTTCCAGAAGGAAACAACTGAAATTATCAGAGACTGAGAAAACAAGTTTAATGAAGAAACACTCAAACCCCTTTGTCCACTTAAATTTAGCAAAAAGAAATCTAAAGAAGCCAGGCAAGTTCTCAAACCTATGAGATGTAGCCGAAAATAGGGAACTAACGCTTTATCTACGTTACTAGTATGAACATTTCAGGTAGCAATAGACTTAAAGTGAAAGTTCAGACTTGAAGTATACTTAGAAAGATTAGCTCAGCACCGAACTACTTTGTCTAGTTAAGTGGGGTTTTTTTATTTATTAAAGAACATATTGATCAAATATTTATTAGGAATGAGTTAGGTACAGCACACTTTTTCTTCAGTTTCCTTCTAAATCTCTCTCTTTAAATAATCTTACTTATTTTTAAAGCACAAGCTTTCTGGCAGACCAGTACACCACTTTCATGCCCAAAGCACATTTTTATGAGCAAGTTATTAAGCCCTAGTATACAGAGAAGTTTATTATGGAAGTGTTTACAGAGCCCCAGCTATTGCACACATATAATACATGCTCTAATAGTCACATAATTTACAAAATATCATTGAAACACACTTTTAAACAGGAAAACATTTAAAAGCCTCATTCTACAATAGTACTATGCACAAAGAAGTAGAATCTCACTTTCATTTTTTAAATTTTCATTTCATCACTCCGTGTTCATTCTTAACTGGACCCTATCTCATACTGAACACTCAAGCCATTAACTATAGTAAATCTGTTTTGGACAGCACAGCAACCGCACAGCATTTCTGGTGTTTTCCATTAATGTAACAAACTACACTGAACAGAACAAAATAAGCATTGTTTTGCTTTTTTTTTTTCCCTTAAATACTTAAGCTAACATACACCTGCAATTTGGTGATGAAGGCCCCAATTCAGCAAAGCAGTTAAGCACATGCTTCAGATTCCAACACATACTCAAAAGGTTTATTGAGCAGGGACAATATTTAATAGAGATGCAAAATTTTGTGCTTGGCTGTAACTTTAAAATAGAACTACTGCCCTTAGTAACAAATACAGGATTAATCCCTTTTACATAGGATCCCTCTTATCTTTATACTTTGTATTCACATCTCACACTTAGTCCTGAAAGCACAATTTAGTTCTCTCAGCAGTGTTGCAACAGGAAGTATTAGCATTTTTAACCTCCATGAAACTTGAGCATTAAATTCTCACTAAAGCTGACAATCTTGGATGAGCTCCTGAAATTTTATAAGTAAACAGCCATACCCTGATACACCATCCACCAAGGGCAACTTAGGGAAGAGCACAAGCCTGAGAGTTATTTCAGTTAACCATCAGTTCCAGTTTCCTGGAGGAAAAAACACAAATACGGAATAGGCAAAGGTATGGCTTTCGGCATAGCAGGAGACCAAGGGAATACAACACAGGGGCAATTTTCTGTCGCCAAAGGATCAGAGACACCACCTTTCCTAAGCTACCACTACCACACTGAGTACTTCTGGTCTCATCCCTCCCTACCGTTTTAAGCCCAGCAAGCCATTCAGCAGCAACGTTGTGGGAAACTGAGGGCTATGAAATGCCTGGAACGGAGGTGTACTTGGGTACATGAAGCACATCACATGCAATATGGGAAAAAGTTTTATTTGTAAGAGGAATCTGTTCGCTCTCTTGAATTCATTCTACTGGGCAACTGTGTACAATACTTCATGCTTACTATTATTTTGGACTTCTACATCCCAATACAGACATCCATCTTTTCAACTAAAACATTAATCTATGATGTGCTCCAGCCATAGAGGACATAACTCACACTTTTGACATTGCACTGAAGAGACTGGCAACTCAACAGCATATCGCTGTGGAGCAGAAACTGTAGGTTCTTTCAGTAACTCACAGGTGAGTGCAGTCTATCACCTAGATAAAAAGTCAGAGAAGTTTATGTGACCCCTTCCATCTGAGAAAGATTATTGCTATTGTCAAAGGGGTTACTCATTCCATTTATAGGCTTGCGCTCGATTACTAACCTCGCCTAAAAGTAACTCACACAATTTTATAAATAAATTGAGGGAATTATACATATCTTCTAAGACACCAGACTTCAGTGCAAAGAGATAAAACAGACAAAATCTGAACCATGCTTCTTAACTCAATACACTTTCTCTGTCTCATAACACACAGGCGAGGGGAAGGGGGAGAAAGAGTGAAGCAAAATAAAAAATCCTCTTGCCTTCCTTGTCAGGACACTGCAGGGGCTAATAGAGCTATCAATGTGATTCAGATGATGTGGAAAACATTTCATAAAATATACTACACCCCTGACCTCTAAGTTTCTCAAAAGATTTGCTGTGTTATATATCCAAAAAGCAAACACGAAGAGTCAAGGACACCTCTACCTTTAACATCTTCAAAGTAAATGTAGGCAGTGGAAGATTCCAGCCACCACCCTCTCTCCCAGAACTCATTCCCTTCCTTTCCAAAGTACACAATACATGTTTGTGCAACAAACCAACAATTTACTTTAATTCTCCTTTAGAGACTTACTATAATCTCTTGTTATTGTCCAAAGATCTTTATGCTGATTTATCATAAACTAAAACAATACAGTGAATTACACCTTTGTAGATATAAGTAATTGCATCTGGTTCCACTGTCTTTCATTTGAACATTTGAAATGATGACAGACTTCTTATGACAACTGGTTTTCAATGTTTTATGACTAAGCGAGTAACTGCAGTACTTGTGATAATTTCATTTAAAGCAAATGCAAGTAACATAATTATGTCTAGTCAATGTAATCTTATTAACAGCTTTTCACATGAAGGCAAAAGGGAACAGGCATTGCAGAACAATAGTAAATCTCACAGAAGAGAAGGATAACTAGATATACCAAATGTACAACAAAAAATTAAA